CAAAATACACACAAAATGACCCTAAATGACACAAAGACACAATATGACCACAAAATGATCACAAACAGCTATGAAACGATCATTAAAATGCACAATATGATCACAAAGAGACACAACATGACCACAAGCAAACACAAAAATACAAAAACTACGAAAAGACACAAAGACAATAATTTCCCTGAGGTACCCTTCCAAAGGGATAAATAAAGTTCAATCCAATCTAATCCAAATAACCACAAACAGACATGAATGACCACAAAATGACCCACAAAAACACACAATGACCACAGAGACCGAAAATGACCACAAACACTGAACAACCAGACACGAGTGACCACAAAGAGACACAAAATAACCACAAAGACATGCAAATAACCAAAAAAAAGGACCACAAGCCGATTCAAAATTAGTGTAAAATGATACGATGTGACCAAAAACAAACACAACATGACCCAAAACGACACACAAAGACCCAAAACGCACACATACTGACCAAAAACAAACACAAAATGACCACAGAGACACACAGTATGATCACAATACGACTCACAGTGACAACCAAGAGACCCCAAATGACTACAAACGGCTATAAAATTATCATAAAAATACACAACTTGATCACAAAGAGACACAAAACAACCACAAATGGACACAAATGACAACAAAGACATTCAAATAACTACAAAAAGGCTCACAAACACATGTAAAATTAGCATAAAACCATACGATATGACCACAAAAAGACACTGAGCAAACACAAATGACCAAAGATACACAAGTATCCACAAATGGATCCAAAATTTCCGTTAAAGGATACGATGTGGCCACTAAGAGACACACAACAACCACAAAGAGACACAAAAGGACTCCAAAGAGACCTTAAATGACCACAGACAGTGAACAACCACAAATGGCCACCGTGACACATGACCAAAAACACAAAATGACCACACAATGATCACAAACACTATGACATGACCATTAAAATATACTATATGATCACGAAGGCCACTCAGAGCCACAACATGACCACAAACAGACACAAAGCAGGCGCACACATCCACACAATAGACACAACGGGTCAACGGAGAATGCTGATGAAGTTGTGCTTCCTGTACGGAC